TTTTATAAAATAAAATGTATTAGGCATCCCTGCCAGTGTCTTGTAAGTCTTATAAAAGGTGTTTGAGTCAGAAAACATTTATCTTCCATAAAACTTGTCAAGCAATTGCTTTTTGTCTAAACTTTAGTGTTGCCTAAGGATAGAAACACTTATTATTTATAGCTCTGCCTTCTCTTTCTTGTCTCTCGCACATATGCCTTGCCTTCTCTTTCTTGTCTCTCACACATATGCCTGTATTGTAGAAATGTATATACAATGGTCTGAAGTTTTTTCAGATTTTTGTTTTAACTGATAAGTACAGAAAAGTGTGCTGTGGATCTGAAAACATGCTGATAAAAATGTAAGTCTTTATTCCAAAATCAAAGAGCCTGGGATAACAGATGAGAAGCATGCATTTTTTTCCCCACTAGATTTTACAGGAGGGATTTCACTTTTTTCTTTTTTGATTTTGTCTGTACCGTGAGTCAGTCATATTCTTAAATTCTGATTTTTCATTAAAATATTTTCTCACTAGAAACATTGTAAGTTATAGTGGTGTAAATTTTTTGCTGTTTTGATTACGTAAAGATGATGCAACGGTAATTGCAAGTGCTTGTACTAGTCAGCTACGTATTATTCAAATCTATGTGTTAAGATACATTTATCTTCTTAAAACAAGTACTTGCTTAGCTGTAGCTTTGTTCTCTATAATTTTATTGCAAAACACAGGGCTGATTTAAAATGGACCATTTGAAACAATAGTGTGCTTTTTGGTAAATAATGCTAAAAAATTCTGTGCTGTAGACCACCTGACCATGTGGGGGTTTTGCTAATGACCCAGAAGAATTTGTACGCAATGGAAATATCCAATGACCTTGATTTGTCTTTCTTAAGTATACTGCAGTACTGCATGTATTTCATAAGTGCTTTGCTTAGACAGCTGACTTAGTCAAAACGCTGTGGAAAAGGCTGATTTTAATCAAGAAGAATGCAGAGCACCAGGAAAAATGGGGGGCTTAAAATAGAAAGTAGTATTATCCAGAAAGTGGATGATTCAGAAAAATTACAATGAGATGAGAAGCCGCCTATTTCTAGATCACTAGTTCAAATAAAGATCCTCTGTGGTAATTTGTAAATCTTGTTGCTGTCCGATACCTGCTTGGTAACCTAAATTGGTGAGCCACTTTGATACGTGCTACTCTATGTGCACGCCCCTAGGGATGCATCTGTAACCTACAGACGTCCTTCGCAGAGCAGGGAAGCACCAAATGGTCCTGGTTGCTGAACTACTCCTCATCGCTCCTTTCATTTGTACTTCCAGAAGGGACTTAGTGAACTTGTACTTGTACTTTTTCTCTCTGTATGTATTGTTTTAAAATTAACTGAATGATCCACTGGCTGTGTTCACGATTGGAGGGGTTTTATTTCTTTTTTTTTAGCAAGGTTAACAGGATTTCACAGCATTTTAGTTTCTCTTGGAAATTTAATTCCAGGCTTTTGAATTTCCTACCTTTCCTCTTAAAAAGAGTTACACAAAAAACAGGTTACAGAGAAAACAGATTTTAAAAATGAAGTTCATAAAATTAAAATTATTAAAGCGTATCAGTAAATTAAAAGTTAGTTGAAGGTTTTTAAAGTCTGTGGTGCATTTATATGTCATTAGGAGAATTCAGCTGACAAATTTCAAAACTACTTCTGGGATAAAATTTTTTGGCTCAAACTCACTGAAGTCTAATACAAAAGTTCACAAGCCGGTTCTTCATGAATCTCTCTTACTTTGTGCTACAAAACATGGACTATCACTAAGAAAATGGAGTTCCTCTCTCCAAGGCATCCAGTAAAGCTCGGCATCTCATTGTTGGCTAGTCTGCAATGGTAAATGCTGCCATTAACAAAAAGACTTCTTTGAAGCTGAAGGTGCTAACAACAGCATGGTTGAGTTGCTCACAGAATCTGAAGCCTTTTCTTCTCCTTAATCCTGAAGCACATCGTGGACTAGCATTATATACCCAGAAGTACATTTTTAAAAGTCTTTCTGGGATGTTATCTGGCAGCCATTTAAGAGTCCGTGTTAACTTTAGGGTTAGAAGAAAGAGAAATGTTTCAAGATGGCTCAGTAGAAAATCATTTAAAGAGAAGAATACAACATTTTTTTTCGAGACGCAGAACGCCTCTGGTATTCTGAGCAGGCTAAGATATTCAAGGGAGGTGAGGCTACTCGGCGCTCGGTAAGGTCAGACTCAAATTTGTGTGCCTCAAGTGCAACTTGACCAGCACATCTGGTTTCACACCTATGTTCTTCAGGAAAGTGAAGTGGGATTTTGACACAAAGAGGATATCCAACAGGCAGATGGTCCGCACCTTTCATACGGCCGTTGCCTCAGCTGGGACTTAAGAGAGAGGGCAGTTTCTGCTGACTCATAAATAAGCCTGAGCAACCATCGTTTTTGCCTGCCAGTCTCTCATTCTCATTTCACGTTGCAAAGCAACATGAGCTATTAGATAAAAATGTGTTGGGAAACCTGGTTCTGTCCCTGACTTTTCCTTTCATCTTTTGTTTGACTTTGTTCTTCACCTCCTCACGTTCCTGTTTCCCAGCTTGTACGGATATGTTCCTTGGTAAAGGGCTTTGAAATCAACACCTAAACAGAGGTCGATGGTAGCAGTACTGGCCACAGGTCTCAACCTAGTAAGCTGCAGGAAATGATCAATCACACTTTATACGACAAAAGAAATAGGATGTTAGCTCCAAGTCAGATTGATGTCCAGCACCTGGCTGGAGTGAGGAGCTGGGGCAGGAGAAGGGCTATCGTCAGTGCAGCGCCCACAACATACAACTGTGCTGTTAGCAACCAGCCTCCCAGGTTTTGGCTCCCTCCTGTGAGAGTAACACAGCTCCCAAAGCTGCTATTCTCCAAGCCCATGGAGAACACATGCTTGGTCTCCTGTGCTTCAGAGAATTGTGCCCTTGCCTTCCTGTCAAGTCAACCACCATCTTCTTGCCCAAGGGGTGCAAGTCATGGTTTCCCTCTGCCTTTCTGCAGTCTTCCTCTACAGTCTGTACCTTTCCTTCCTCCCACTCTCTTACTCCACCTTTTGCACTCAGGTGAGGCATTTTCTCCTTACTGCCTGCACACCAGTGGAGAGGTCACACAGGCACCAGGCTGAAGACATGCTTATCACTCCGAGTAGCTGGTGCAATTCTCGCTAAGCCCTGAGACTCTGTTTGCCACAGTTTAGTTCTTTAGTGCTCAGTCTTGGCTGCCCGTATTTCTGCCTGCCTGCTGTCTTACCTCTCCCTACCAAGTGTTGTACCTTAAATCTAATGCGTACTCAGTTTAAACCCATTAGATGCCTTGCCTCGTTACTTCTCAAAAAGGGATGAAGGACCACTACTTTCCTAAATACAGTGAGAGAAGCAACTCAGTCTTCCATTGAGCTGTTTTCTTTAGTTTATTTATTTGTTTTTCTTTCCCAACAGCTCTGGTTTACACACAGGTGACAGTGTTACAAAAACAGGACCTGGGGGCCTTCCAGACATGAGACAAGTGCCAACTGTTGTGATCGAATGCGATGACAATAAAGAAAATGTGCCTCATGAAACCAACTATGAAGATTCTTCCTGCCTCTACACAAGACAGGAAGAGGAGGAAGAGGAAGATGAAGATGAGGATAACTCTTTATTTACAAGTAAGACTCATTCCATTTTTCCTTTCTCATTTATTTAATTTTTACTCTGAACTCTCAAAACACAAAGGAAACACAGGGCCTGTGAATTTTCTTTCTCGACAGTGGCTTTTGCATCTCTCAGGGCTTGACTACATGGAGATGCTTGGTAAATTAATCCAAAATAACAAGTAGTATGGATTTATAGTGATTTCCCTAATTCACGTGAATCCTTGTCTGGGTAGCTCTCAGACAGAATTCAAACAACTGTTTTTGTCTTATGTTAGTTCACTTCCAAATTGACTTTTGGATTCACTTTCCCAAGTGTCCAAGGTGTAGAAAAGCCATGCCTTTGGCTTAAGTCAAGGTCAGCTCAATAGAGTTACTTCAGGAGGATGAAATAAGTGCCACCAATAGAGAATCAGAGCTTTCCTAGGTAGTAAGTATTAGATCATTTCAGAATCATTAGTCTGCACTTACTTTGAATGGGGTCGCGATCAGAGAATTGGGCTCAGGTAAGAAGAGAAGAGGTTAATTGATAGCCATATCGCAGTTACAGTCTGGAGAGGGACCTGTGACCCCTTCCTGACCCCTCTGAGAAAACCCATCTCCAACCTCACTGTGGCATCAGGGGACTCTGCCATGAAGACAAGATGCAGTACTTTGCGTATGACATCTGCTTGTCATCCTGCAAGTCCAGCTGAAGTTTCAGGCCCTTGGATTTCTTTTCTTCTGAAAACTGGGAGCAGTACAGTCAAACAACACCCTTTTTAGAACACACACACAAATGAAGATTCTAAAACAGGTGTATTTCATCTCCTCAGAATCCTCCCTTGCCCTGCAAGTGAAATTAAGCAGTCTTTGCTCTTAAACTAAGAGACACAGCAGAACTGCACTATCTCACACTCTCCTGCCAAAGCCCAAATCCTCTGATGGGTTTGTGTTTCTCTGTCTGCTTGTGTCTGTCTTCCCTGTTCAAACTGCTTTGGATGCAAGCCAAAGAAAGCAAGCTTGAGCCATGAGGGGCCACTGGTTTTCTCAGTGTCTTTGCCACTGTCACTGCCTGAGAAGCAGTGTCAGTTAATGTACATAGAGATCTGCACTGCCTCTCATTGATTTTTGATTCCTTCCAGTGCTAGCTTGGATGTCTCAGTATCACGTTGCAAGAGAGAGAGAGACCTCTCTCTTTCCACATGCTGTAGCTTTGCTGCCTGTCCAAATTCTGAGGTTGAATTATTCATTCCATTACGTGGTTCAGAAACACTGTGCTGGAGAAAGCTACAGATGCTACTAGCAATTCTGAAACAAGCCCTTCTTCTCCACGCCCCTCTATGGAGCAATATTTTAATTTCTTTTTCCTGTATACCTACCAAATTCGGCTTTTCCTTAGTATGATATGAATTGAGGTTAATTGAGCATGTTAAGTTAATTGACCCCCCTTTTCCCACAGTCCGTACCAATGTAAATGAGAGCCTAGTGTCCTCCCTTGGCTAGTACTTCTTTGCCTGCTGCATGCGGTAATGAAATGATGACACCTCCTTTGGCAGAGCCTCTCTTCTCTCCCACAGGCTCCCTGGCAATGAAAGTCTGCAGGAAGGACTCTTTAGCAATCAAACTAAGCAACAGGCCTTCCAAGCGAGAGCTGGAGGAAAAGAACATCCTCCCCATGCAGACTGATGAAGAGAGGCTCGAACTTAGGCAGCAGATTGGGACAAAGTTAACAAGGTAGGAGACAAACATTTTTCTGACTCTTGCTTTTGGAAGTACGTAGTGGGATGCAGTTTTTGTCCTTAGTCTATAAACCTTTGACATCTGTTTGTTCACAATGTTGAAGAGGAAAGGCCACGGGGGGGAAAAAAAGACTCTAGACTTTATTTCTGCTCCAATATAATTTCCCATACAACGCCCCATTTCGTTTTCCTGGCATATCCTATGCGATCTTTGGTTGCGTTAAGTATCAGCATGAACTATGTGGATTTGGTTGGTTTTGGTGCACCACTGGGAAATGTTCAGCTTTGATAACATTTTGGACTGTAGCTGCAGATGCCGTTTGATAGGCTTGTTGAAGAAATTTCTTTGCCCTAGGTTTCCTGTAGCAGAGTCTCAGATGTCAGATCTTAGAAAAATAATTAATTTGTTTGGATAGTACAGCAGAAAGACAGCTCGAGCTGGGTGCTTCCAGGGAGGGACCCTGAGAAAAGAAATTTCGGGACAATTATACCCTTACAATTAAGTTCCCACCCCCTCATGCACTCTTCACGCGCTGTCCATGCGACAGTTGGTCCAATGGTAGTTTTTGGTCTGAGGTGGTCTTGTTCCTATTGGATTCTTCTTCTGCCTTCTGGGCGGGCTGTTAGCTGTTCTTATCTGGACACGTTGCAGCCTCTGCTGACAGCCGTAGCTTCCTTATCTTCCAGTTCCCACTGGTCTCAGGGCTTTCTTTCACTTAACTAGGCAACAGTTCAAGAGAAGTTCAACTTTTCTCGGTGAAAGTTCACAGCTTATGGCCTCAGGTTTCAGCAAATCTAGCCACTCATGCTAAGCGAGTTCTGCCATGTCAAGCTTCTTTGCAGTATGGAGAGGCTTCATCCCTAGTTTACTTTGATGGCCTAATGGTAAGCAACTAACTTCACAACCTTTTGGTCTAAAACGGTGAATATTCTTTACGAAACTATTAGTTTTGGCCAAATGGCAAAGGTATAACTTTTCTCTTCTGACTGCATCTCCCATGAGTAGCTGAGTCTTTTTGTGATCCAAAACACTTACATCCTTTGGTATCTGCTTTTGTTGTGTCAGGTTGGACAGATTTACCCTGTCTAGACTATTTCTTCTTCATAACAGTGTTACTCACCAGCTGTTCTGATTTTCTGTATTGCATGGGGTATAGAGAGGTGACCATTAAACGTGGAAGATTTCTGTCAAGAATTAGTAAACTGAGGTCAGGTAGAAATGTTTAAGAACCCTCTATGCCCCAGCCATGATTTCTGTAATCAGTTTAATACTGTTGTGTCATTACCTTGATGGTATACAGAGCTGGTGAATGCTCTTCGGTGTCCTCCAGTGTGACTCTGAGAAAACCACAAGGAGAAAACTAGCCGGTTGTTGGGAATTTTCTTGCAGGTTTTCTTTTTTTTCTCTCTCTTTTTTTTTTTTTGTGAGGGGGATAAGGGGGGAACACTGCTACCATGTTGTGGAAACAAGAAGAACAGGAGCTCCTGGTAAATACCTCTTTCAGCATTTTACCTACTCTTTTTCTCATGGCTTTGTTTATCACCTCTTTGAAGTAAACTAACCACATCTTTCCAGTCTGTTTTTGAAAGCCTTTGTGCTGGATCATGCTTAGCCTACTCCAAGACCTGTCTAATTCTTCAGTATTCAGTATTGTCTCAAGTTGCGCCAGGGAGGTTCAGGTTGGATATTAGGAAGAACTTCTTCACTGTAAGAGTCGTTAGGCATTGGAACGGGCTCCCCAGGGAGGTGGTGGAGTCACCATCCCTGGAGGCGTTCAAAAAACGTTTAGATGTGGCGCTTCGAGACATGATTTAGTGGCTTTAGCGGGAATGGTGGCATTGGGTATACAGTTGGACTTGATGATCTTTGAGGTCTCTTCCAACCATAATGATTCTATGATTCTTGTGGAAGGGCCTCAGCAGAGGTGCCCAAAGTATGCAAGATGGTACGGCACTGTTGCTGGTACTGTGATTCTTCAGTCCAGTCTTTATTCAGCCTAATACCTTGTTAGACTACAGCTGCACATGGAGCTCTGGGTCCCAAAAAGCAGCACATGATAGCAAGGTCCCAGTGCTTATATGATTAGTTTTGAACCCTTTTGAAGCATGTGAAGAGTTGACATTTTTGTCTCTTAGCATATCTTACTGTGCACTGCTTGACTTTGCAATGACATTGAACAGCATTTCCACTGTGTTGCCCATTTGCCTGAATTAGTTCGGTCTCTCAGAAGTTTCACAGCTCTGTCTGATGAAGGTAAGTAGCGTCATTTGCAAACGTTGACTCTGCACAGCTTACTGTACCCCAGCTGTTTTTTATTATAAATATTTTATATCTTACGTCTCCAAACCTGCTTTTTCCCCATTAGACTATGTTTCTTCAGTATATCTCTGCTTAACAAGGGAAACTAATTTTGGCAATGCCCAGAACCTTGCCTGTGTAAGCCCCGTATTCTCACAGTCATAGAATCACAGAATGGTTTGGTTGGAACGGACCTTAAAGATCATCTGGTGCCAACCCCCTGCCATGGGCAGAGACACCTTCCACCAGACCAGGTTGCTCCAAGCCCCGTCCAGCCTCGCCTTGAACACTTCCAGCGCAAACAACGTCGTCATTTGTTTCCCCAGTTGCATCTCTGCTCATTCAGTCTGAGGTATAATGCTTGATCTTCTCTTCTAATATAGCTAGGACATAGGGGCAATCACAAATAGTTTAAATACATAAAACTCTGCACATACGAGCTCAAAAAATAGCTGAGCCACTGCTGTTTCATTCCCATTTTATACCAGCATAATATCACTGAAATTGGTAGAATTTCACAAACCTTATCTGGAATAATATAGTTGCTGGTCTGACCTTTTAATTACTAAGATTTACAACTTAGTATCTCATCCTTTTGAGTAGTTAAAAAAATCAGGAAATATGAGGAGAAAACAACTTTCCTCATCTCTAATATGCAAAAAGCCACAGGCATTTCAGCAACAAAAAGGAAGGTATCTGTTTTACCAGTGCTTTGTATCTAAGTGTGATGTATCCATGTGCACAGACTGATGAACACTGGATTGAAACAGAGAGAATATTTCGATTTGGACAGTATTTCTTTATGGTCCAGACTTCGTTACTGAATCCACCCTTTGCTGTTGCTTGGTAATTGTCACACAGTGATGCAAATGCTAAGCAAAATTAAAGTAGTGAAGCATTTATAGTCCTTAGAGAAGATGCTAGATGCAGACTATAATTGCAGCTGGCAATTTTATATTTCAGAGGGATTTGTACTGTTCCACCAATGGTCCCCTATAGTTTAAAATAGCCAGCCAATGAAATCACATATGCTGCTTAGAGAAGTTAAAAAAAGCAGAATAAAAACTTAAGCAAATAGCTATTGTCTGTAGTGGATCAATTAATTTTCACCAAGAGGCTGATTAGGATACTTCAATATTTATGCATAATTCTCACAGTATTTATTTTAGAAGAACTCATTGGCTGCCACATTTGGCAGATCAGAATTTAGTACTATAAAGAGAACATCATTTTTGCGGATGCTTATAGCCAGACATATTGAGAGATTGACCATTGACATACTGTGTGGGACCAAAAATCATCCCAGTTGTAGTTCCTCCGGCCTTATTAGAGTTGCACCAGGAGTCCATTTGGCTCAGAACTGTTTGTTCAGATCCTGTTTAAATGTAGCTTGGTACCTCTGAACCTCCAGTTAGTCCCGGAAAACTGTTATGACTTTATTTTTGCATCTGCCAAGTGGTAGAGAGTTTCCAGAGCGGACTTCACCATGTCGCCTGTTTGCTGTGCTGGGACAATAGTGCCTTGACTTACCCCAGACCAGCTGTAAGGGTGAGGCTGCAGAGCCTGTATCTTATAGCAGGATCTGGCCCACTGCACACCTGAATATTCACTGAGCGGTGAGACAATTTAACACCCTTGTGCCTATCCTAGAAACACTTCGCATGAATGTAGTGCTTTGCTGGTACGTATCCTGTGCCATGGCTCAGCACGTGTAGATCCAAGCAAAAATGGAGCTTTTTGCCCAAGATGGCAAAATGTGTCCTAGCAAAGGCAGGAGATCCCACATCACGTGAACTGCAGCCACATGAACAGGCCACTGCACCATAGGCTGTTCTGGGCAGTCTTTACACGGCAATTACAGCAACTGATTAGAAGACCTCCTCCTCTAACCAAACCAGGATGAACTGCTCCAAAGTGTCATACCTGCTATGAAGTAAGGAGCAAAACTAGTGAATTAAGATGCAGAAATTCCAGCTCATAACCACATGTGACTTGGGGATAGGAAATGGATGCTGAAGGCCATGTTCTTGGCTGCTAAAAACCCTTGCAACTCCATTAACTTCTACTCTGAAATGCAGACCTTCTGCGCTAAGTAAATCTTTAAGTGGGTATGGTTTTCTTTGGGTTTTTTTCCCTGTCTGCTCAGCTTCTCCCAAACTCCTCCTCCATTTTATCCCTCTGGTGCCTGCACAGCTTCACAGCTGCTCAAGAAGTGTGTATAAGCAACTGTAAGACAGAAAGGAGAAAACAGGAGGAAAACCAGGACTCTGAAAGTTAACGGGCAGAGGGAAAAGACAGACTTCTGCCTGTCTCTCTGGCTGTGTTGGACCTGCTGGGAAGCACTGGTCCCCTGGTTATTCAGGTTAGAGCGGGAGGACTCGGATTTAACTTTCAGTGGCTATCAGGGTGAGAGGAGTGGGGCATATCTGGGCTATGACTGTGAAGCAAGGACTCAGACAGGCTCTGGATCTGAGCTCGGAGGTTCTCCCAGGAGCAGTGATCAAGGCATGGCTGGCAGGAGCCCCTGGTGAGGAGGAGGGCCAGCACTGGTGGGTGATGTGCAGCAGAGCCGCATGTCTGCCAGAGCCTGCAGGCTCTCCCCTGGTGCTTCAGTGCCAGTCCTGGCACTTTTGTTTCACCAAGGAATCATAGGACACCACACAGTCTTCCTTAATCAACATATTATTTAGTAAACA